AAAAAATGTTTTTTAGAGAAAGGGGGGGGGGGGGGGGGAGTATAACCTGTGATAGTATTATAATGCTGTCTTTGCTTACCCATCGCAGTGACACATGTCCCCTTACATCTCATGAACCAAATTCACCAACGTTAATATTGCTCTAGGTGGTAAACTGGTGCTCAGGCCCAGCATGGCATCCATGGCTTACCTCAATATACAGGCAACAAATATTCAGGTTGAACTTCCCTGAAAAAAAAAATTCTGTTTCCCCATTCGAGAGCTTTCCATCACTCCTGTCCCTGGCAATGATCCCAAAAAGGAACACGGACTGCAAAAAAAAAACTAAAACTTTCCCAGTCAATTCAAGGCACACACAAAAAAAAGTGTGTTGCTTTGCGTTGGGCTTTAAGCACATTTGTCAGGTTTATTTAAATTTAAAGTGATCCTACTCTTTAAGAGCATGGAAACCATGATGTGTCCAGAAATAGCTAGATTACTCTTCTTTGTGCCTACGCGGCCCCCAGACGTCCTGACTTAAGTTCCAACTTGCACAGCTCACCTCAACAACACACAAGCCCCTATAAAAATATCTTGGTGGTTCTTGGGATGCAAGGCATACATTCTGTGTGTATGTAGGAACGGGGAGCTTCCTGGGCACAGGGAAATTCAAATGCAGATAATAAAAATGTGTTTATCATTTTTAAGATTAGGGTGAAGTTCCTCATCAAGTATTAACACACATTAATATAACCAGGATTGATGTTAAAGCGACTGGGATGCCTGTGAAAATAATTCCAGTTAAACACAAATAATACTCTCCTTTCCCACTGCCTTAAAGGAGAACTATGGGGTCAGTGTTTTTCCCCATAATTCTCCTTAGGGTAACGGGAGGACACAAACTAGCGTCCTCCCGTTACCCTAAGCTCAGTATACCGCGAGCTACAGCTCACGGTATACTGAGACGCCGCAGCGGATCCCGACTTAGACGTCGGGATCCGCCCAGCTGCGTGAGTGACAGCTGGCTCTGCCTATCTAGAGGCAGAGCCAGCTGTACCCTCCCCCGTCCGTTTCGGCTGGCAGATCGGAGAGGGGAATCCAGCCCCTCCCCCTGTCACGGCAGAGAACCGTGACAGGATCGAGAGGTGAGTGAATCCGGTATGTGTTCGCTCACCTCCCGATCTACTGAGCCGGCCTGTGACAGTCTCATTGTCACAGGTCGGCTAGAACTATGAGGTGAGTGGAAATCACTCATCTCATAGTTCTCCTTTACGAATCTTCATCTGATGCTTCCGGGATTGCCAAATGCTTGGTCCCTTTCTATTCTATGGTTCCTCCTGCCAACCTCTTTCAGGACACAAGAGACATGGGGTTCGGCAGAAGGAACTGCAACGCTCAGCAGGGACCAGGCATCCAACACACCCTGAGGAGAGGGGGATACACGGGTATAAACTTTGTTCTTCTACAGGCATTGCATTGGTAAATTGATTCGGAAGCGACAGTCACTTTAAGCAAACCCTGTGGCCTGCTGGAAAAGCTGTGAACATTAATATTTTGTACAAGAATTGTTTTCTCTTGGCTAACCTTGAATGTTGGACCTCTAGTTCTACACCATCTATGTAGCCATGGATCATCCAAGCCTGGCGTTAAACCTTATTGACTGGTTTAATTTTTTTGTCAGGTGCAAAGAAGAAGAAAGTTGGCAAGCCCTTGGCCTTTAAAGTCGGTGTTGGCAGAGTCATCAGAGGTGTAAGTAGTGGTCATTCTGAGCATGATTAAGGGGACCTTATGTGGCCCCGAAAGGGCTTGTATTTGAATGGCATTGTTTTGTCATTAAATTAACTTCTGCTAATCACATTTGAAAGCATGGTGTGCTGGTGACATTCTTTAACAGTAGTAAGGAAGGAACATACAGCCTGTAACGAGAATTACTTGCAATTAAAAGGGTAACATGACGTTCTAGTTCATATGTTTACCTCAAAGAAGCCGGATCTGTACAGATAATGGACTTTTATTATTAGCATGAGGTCTATAACACCACATTAGCTGTCAGATTATGCTGCATGTTCTGGATAGGAGATGTAGAAGAAACCTATTCACCATTTGTTGTTTTGTTTTTTTTCCTCAGTGGGATGAAGCTCTTCTCACCATGACCAAGGGAGAAAAAGCCAAACTTGAAATCGAGTCTGAATGGGCCTATGGCAGGAAGGGTCAGCCTGATGCCAAGTATCCTTTATCCCTAGTTTTAAGGCTGCTAGTTCCTCACATTTTTCAAGCCATGACACAAAATACATAACATGTGTGTGACGTGTGTGAGCGTGATACGTGTCGGACAGTATTCTGGAGCCCTAACCCCACCCCCTGAAAAAAAAATGAGCTCCTGCAGATAAGGTTTGGGGTCCTTTTAGCTTTACCAGGGTGCCACAAGAAAGCCCAGTGACATCACCCTTGCCTTGGGACGAGTGCACAGGAAGCTTTGATGTAAGGAGTATTTTTTTGCTCTTATTTTTTTCTGATGTTTAATCACATTATTACTTTCAGTTGTTTTTTTATTTTTTTAGGGGGATGAAGCCTGCAAGGCCTGCTTTTAAAGTATATGTCAAGTGAGAAAGGATAGAACCCCCATTAGAGAGCTTTTCTTTCATTTACTGTCCTGCTGATGTCCCACCGTTTTTGCTAGACAGGAAATGGGAGCAAATCAGCAACAGGACAACAGACAAGAATAAAAATCTAACTGGTTTTAACTTCCTCTAATGTGATATATATTTTAATAACCCTGAAGCCACCACTGGGCTCTGCTTATTGCGTTTGTCAACGTTAAACGTTAAAAATTGGCTTACTGCAAAAGAAGACTAACAATCCCTGTCCTCGATGTCTTCAAGACCTATGGAAGATGACGAGGGTTGAGTATCTGACAAATTTCTGGGTAAGTATTATGCCTGGTGCACCGCCGTGTTCTGTGATCCAATCCACCAGCTACAGAAAAGGGCAGATGACTACAATGCGATTTAAAATAATGAATATGGAGTTTATAGCTCCATATTTATGTCTGGATACGGTTCTTTGAGTCAATGACGCAGAACAAGTGTGCAGTCTGTGGGACAACAATGCCTTCCACCATAGATGCAATGGAAAGATGAGTGTAGACTGGAATTGTTTTTGTTTAGGGGGGGGTTTAGATTTACTCTAGACGCAGATCTTAAAGAGCGTGCTGGCTGTCGCTTTAAACTAGTGTCTAGCAGGCGTTCAACTAGTTTCAAGTTGTACTGTGCTAGCAGCTTATTTAAAGTGACAGCATTCCCATTAAGATCTGTATTTGTCCACATCTTGGGTTGGATGTGGACCTATTGGCCTCCAGGTACAGGGATCTTTTGGTGGCTATGGGGGATCAGTACACCCTGATCTATGCTTTCCATAAGCTTCTTTCCTATGTCTGGTTTGCAGTATTATGATAGAGGGCATTCCAGGGATCCTCATTGCTTTGGATTGACTTAGGTGGATGTGGTACACTGACCCGGTAAGACTGACAGACGCGGCATGAGCTTTGCCTGATCTTTTGTCTTGAGCACCTATATAAGGTTCTTCTTGGTCACTGGTTTCAATGGAAAGGCTGATGAGGTCTTCAGTTCTGAGGGAGAGGGGCATCTGAGTCTGTGATTCTTAGGATGCTTGAAGCTAGGAAGTCTACTTCTGGCAAGATTTATAATCGAACATTTAAGGCATACTTCCATGTTTGGGTCTCTGGGCTTCCACCCCAGAAGTTTCTCCATGGGACAAAACCTCTCCCTCCTATAGCTTGGTCTAGACCAACATCTGTCTCTCAGCACCATCAAGGGTCAGGTTTCTGCCCTTTCTATTTGGTTTAATAGACTGCTGGTCACTCGCTCTTTATGCCCTTTTACAGGGTGGCTCCCCTTGTCCATTCACATGATACTCTGTAGTATATGAATCTTGCTCTCTCTGCTGTTTCAAACCTTAACAGATATTCCCCTGCAATATATTTATCATGAAAAATGTTTTTTTATTATATATTTTACACACTATTTGTCCCATGATAAGTTTTGTTTTTAAAATATAAACTAATTTTCTCAGCTAAACCTATTTTGAGAGAAGGGCTAGATACAGACCCCCATCCCACCTTTCTTCCCCAGTTTGTTCCTACTACCACAATGATCGTATGCTACAGGGACTACATTGATTCCAATTCATACCTATAGGACAGCAGGCACTGCAACGACAAGCCTCAGGCTCCTGATATGATGTATTACATTGACAGGCTTATTGGACATGCACATATACAAATATTTCCCCAGTCATCTTCCAGGACAGCCATCGAGATATAAAGTAGGGTTGTGTATAAAATGGTTTGCATACGGGCGGAGCACTGGCTGATGGCATCACTCTTGTCGTACGCAGGTCAAAGCCACGGAGGATAAGCCCCTCGCTGAAGCAGGTTGCTCGCGCCCAAAAGGGAAGAAGTGTGCCTCTTGCTTTGCAAAAATGTCAGCTTCATGGTCCAAACCCTTATGCAAAGTTTGTCTAGAGAAAATAGTTGCGAAAGAGTCAGCCGGAATGTTTAAGGGGCTTTTGGACTCTTTCAGGTCGGCGCTCCAGACCCCGGTGAGTCCCCTAGTGGAGACTAGTTGGCCAGGTACTTTGGGGGCAGGTAGCTCTACGGGATACGCAGAGAGCACAGTGAGCAAGCAAGCGCCCAGTGAATCCTCGGGATCTCAGGATGAGTCAAGGAAACAGAGTTATCAGGTAATCAACTCATGTTTTAGGTGTCGGGGATGATGAAGATTTCAGTCAAACAGAAACACTAATACTTGCGTCATTGGCCAATCGTCACTAACCTTCCAATCTGTACTGATCACTTTTCTAAATTGATTAGGGAGCTACTATGTTTTCCTTAACCATCTCACCCAGAATCCCACCCAATGCCAAGCTGATTTTTGAAGTGGAGCTGGTTGATATCGACTGAAAATTTACATCGGAGATCTTTAACTACACCAGAATGTGACTAATAAATGCTTTGTTTACATATCTGCTGCCAAATACCATGTAAATAAAATGGACACATTGATCTTTAAGTTGTTTCTTCATTAAGATTACTTCCAGATCTATCTAGCGTTTCTGTAGATCTCCAGTCTGCATATTCCTCACCCCAGCCCTAGTGAGCTTAGCCACAGACTCCCAGGTTCCTAAAAGATCTTGGCAACACGTGATGCCATGAGCAGTGTCCCACACAGCTCTGATGTTGCCAGTCACCCCAGAACAACTGTTTCCTGCCAGCTCGCAACCTAAGCCTGATGGTGACCAAACTGGACCATGCCTGCATAATGTGTGTTAAGTCTCTATCGGATATCCATGTGGCAGGTTGAAAATGCAGGACCACAGCTGGACAATTGGTGGGGTTGTGACCCTAAAACTGGAAGTGTCTGAACAAAGACCTTTATGACAGGAGTGGCAAGTATTATCTTAATGAAAGCTGTAGATTTTAAAATATTAACCCCTTCGTGACGGTAGACGTACAGTGTACGTCCTGTCACTTTGTGCCTATATGAACTTTTGAGATTACATTAACACATTAGACTAGACTATAAGTGACTGGGTTTAGATATTCTTTAAAGTCTACCATGTATCACAAACGTGAATGACTGACAACCAACATTACTAGAGGCCGATAAGAAGTGATCGTACAATACAGAGACCTTTCCCAGCACACTCACCAGCTAGGGTGCCTGCAACAAAACCAATTACACTAACAGTGAGGCTAAGTTCACACAATTTTCAGGAACAGATCTGGAACGTGGTGCATTGCTTTTTGCCGCTAACCAGAAAGTTTTTGGTTTATTATTTTTTTTGCTTAAAATGGGCTTTCAGATTTGGTCCAGTGCATTTGTATGCAATTCCAGACCAGAGAAAATAAGACAAGCAGTATTTTTTTTTTCTGGTCCAGAACAGACTGACTGGTGTGAACAGAGCCCAGAAATACTGTAGAGATACATTGGGATGCTTTTTTGGTCCGGGAACAAACTGTTCTGGTCTGGACATGGTGTGACCAGAGGTTTTAGATTGTAAGCTCGTTTGGCCAGGGTCCTCCTAACCTACTGTTTCTGTATGTCCATGATGCTTGTCAGTGTTTCTTACTTGTCTAAACGATTGTACAGTGCTGCAGAATATGTTGGCGCTAAATAAATGTTTTAGTTGCACAACTTTTGCAAAGAAGTAACACTGGTAAATCAATGAACAGACAGCAAATGGCTATAGGTGCCATACCAGGTAGAGAGGACAAGGAGCTCACATTTTGAGACTCTTATGCTAATTGTGTAACACTTCTACCTCTGTATTGGCCCAGAACCATGTCAGGTGTCCTCCCCAGCCAATGTGGGGGTGAGCCCTGATTGCTGCAGCATGACACAGTGCAGTGGTGTATTTTGGTTTTATGCTGCCCTAGGCAAAACTAAACCCAGGCACCCCCCC